AGTTATTGATGATTAAAAATAATCATATCTAGAGGCTCCTTTAATTGCAAATTTGCATATTTATTCGCAAAATGAAGGGAAGATGAAAGGACTTTTTTGTCTAGCGATAGGTTCAAGATTCAGAGTTCAATATTTATCATATCTATCGCTAGACACAATAGCCGTCATATAATTGTAGATCAGGTTATTCCAAACAAAAAAGTCCTTTGCCATATTGCAAATAAGTACGCAAATTTTCAAGTTATCAATTAAAAGAACCTCCAGGTGTAGTCATTTTTAATCATTAATAACTTAATAACTATAGCGATTTTGCAAAATGATACTTGACTTTCCTTCTCAGTTTGATCTGATCTGATTAATTTTCACAATTTTTTCGTTTCCAAAAGATGCCGGATATCCTGTATATGAATAAACTCGAAACAGAAATAGAAAAAATAAATGAATTACGCAATTTACATAAAGTAAGAGATAATCGCCTCTAAAAGTTAACGTGTGATTAAACGGTCGCCGAAAATTAAATTCAAACAACTGCAAAATGTCAAACATTATTTTCGAAAGCACATGTCACTCATCTGCAAATATATGTGCACGATACTGAACAGTATAAAGAAATGAGAAATAATTTTGCAAGATTAATTAAAAAATTATTACGGTCGGGTAATTTAAATTATCGCGCTCGACCGTAAAATAATTATTTAATATTGCATCGAATTTGGTTGATATAATAATATCAGAGCGTTAAGCTAATTGCGAAAAATGGAGGACATTTTCAAGATCAAAGTGTAATTTAAAATCTCAAAATTGTGAGGCAAAAATAAAAAAGTGACGACGGCGATGAAGTGAAAAATTTTAGATAATCGATCGGCAATATAATTACAATCCACGTCAGAACTGAAGAATCGTGCTCTACAAACATGAGCAGTGTGAGTCACATCTTCTCTCGCGAAAAGCCCGTCGAATTCCCCCCCCCCTCCCGCGGCCTTCCCAAAGAAAATGCGTATCCTGTGATCGAAGGCGTAATGGTAGCAGGCGGCATAGACGACATCAAGACATGGCTAGTCTCGCGAGAATCGGCAAACCAAGAACTTAATGTTTCGGAACGAACGTCGTATTAGCATATCCGCGTCCAATCGTCGCCCACGTGGCAAGGATGCCGTGACGAATCGACCCCGGACTATGACATTGTCATTATTTCATTGACAGAACAAGCATGCGCACGATTCTCCACGGGAAGTATCGCTAACAAGGGTGGGAAAAGAATCGCGGGCTGAGATCACGGCAGATGAAGATGGATGTGGGGTTCTCGATTTAAACGGAAGTACAGAGGTCCTGCCTTCTCGTCTCTCCGTTTATTTAACATGTTATATCGTCCATTTCAGCTGACAGTGTAACACTCAGATTGTTCAACGCTTTTGAATGATCAGCCCCGCTCGTAAAATAGTTATTTATTATCGCTCCGAATTTGCCTGATACAACAATGCAGAGCGTCAGAATGAGTGAAAACATCTCCGAAATCGAAGTGTAACTTCGAAAATCTCAGAGAAAGATGCGAAGTAAAAATAAAATAAATGGCGGCAGCGACGAAGCGAAAAATTTCGTCGTTGCAAAAAGTACGAGAAACATACAGGAAGAAGAAACTAAGGAACTCTTTGTCGTTCAATAAAGAATACAACTAGCGTCGAGGTACCATCCGGGTGCTCCATGTTATTTATCTTTATGGACCTCGGGCAGAGGGTAAGTACACTTACTTCGGGGGTAGTGAAGGGGCGAGCTTAAGCCGGAATAAGGGCGGTAAGAGATTGTTTGTCGTATTGGCTGCGGTTTCGACCAGCTTAACGTTACCCGTTTAGGGGATTTCGCGCTGCGGCACTTCTTTGCTCGCAAGAGGAGTCCGAAAAATCACTTGTCCCTAAGAGAAACGTCAATGTATTTTCTGCTTGTCGAAACAATCTGATTCAACACAATATAGAATAGAACACAATATAGTTAATATAGAAATATATATGTAATCTTGTTATACATATTATTACACTATATTATTTTACATATCATTTGTTGTATTAACAAATAATATAATAATGCTGCACCTTGTACTGGATTTATAAATAAATAAGAATGTAATTACTTTGTTAATATAGTTATAGCTTACAACTTGATTTGCAGAATATTCTACGAATTTCGACAGAATTAAAATATGACCGACGGTGAATTGTAAAAGCAAATTATCTTTATAACTGGAAATTTTTGGCACTTTAATTCTGCTCGAAAGTAAATCTTCAGTTGCGCTAATGTTTCGTGCACTATTTTTATGATGAAAAAGTAACAATCTAATACTAGCAATTTAATACTAGCGAATCGGATGTGGGGAAAGGTCTTCAAATGATCAGAAATTAATCTACTGCTGCGTAATCACGCGCGCGCGCGGCTTTCAGTGATTTAGTATCGCGAAGACAAGAGAAGGACGGACGATGTCCACGAAATAAAGTCCAAGATCGATTTTGTATTTAGGAAGACATAATGAGTTTTACCTCCCGCTAGACAACCAAAAATATCCTGTTGTCGATAGATGAAGAAAATAAACGCAAAAATAAAATACTTCATGCGAAGTGTACGTAAGTACGCGGATTAATATTTATTGATAAAGGACATTCATCATTTAAATTGAATGACGAATTGTGAATTAAATAAACAAGCAATATCATATTCATAATGTCATGGATATTCTTTTATTAATTAACAACGACCTGGATTACATACAGTGCTTATGTACAACGTGCTATTTACATCGAAGTGATACAACATGATATCCGAATGAAACAATCATTATAAAATGAAACAAAAACTTTGATATTTCTCTCTCAACGTAGAGAAGAAGTTAATAATTTTCTTCTTTATATACAGACTTACATGTATTGCGGTACATTTAATCTTAGAACAACTTTGTGTTCCTCGTCGCAACGCCTCAGTGAATACTTCTGTCATTAGGAGACAATTATTAATAATAATACTGAACTGTTTTTCATCGAATATCTATACTATCTGTTTCTCCTGCCTTTCTCCCTTCCTTTTCTTTTCTTTTCGATCTTTATGTCGACTTACTTGCAATGTCATAATTTACACACGCATATCTCTTCGGTATTAAAAGTTTTACTACGAGTATTTACAAGCTACTGTGATTATTGCTGTACAGAATACTGCATTGTTTAACTTAACGATTACGCTTCTCTCTCACTCTCTCTCTCTCTCTCTCTCTCTCTCTCTCTCTCTCTCTCCCTCTCTCCCTCCCTCTCTCATCCCTTTCTCTCCTTGCTCGATTGCAACATCCAGTTAATGCGGAGCAATAATTCACGCAATTTTCGGACAATATTAAGCCACTCGGTGGCAGCTTAACCCTATGTTAAGCCGTACGTCGTAGAAGGGGGTGCAGTACAGGAGGGGAAGCGCGGCGTGGGCGATTCTCGACGGTGGTTGGAGGCCGGCTGTATTTAAAACGCGAATGCGCACCGGCCGATTCGCCGTTTGAAGTTAAATGGAGTGTAAATGGCAGATAACAAACCGGCACTGTTTCCGATTACAGCATTCATTGTTTCCTACCATTATGCGCGCTCCGACGGTTTGTGTGTGACGCAGGTTACGGTTTACGATCTATTTATTGCCACGCCGCCCTCACCTCCGTGTACACTACTGAAATGCGCTTTACACCACGCTTGCACCACCCCGCCGCACGCAACCCTTTCATCTCTCTCTCTCTCTCTCTCTCCTCCCCCCTCTCTCTCTCTCTCTCTCTCTCTCTCTGACCGTCGACGCTACCCCACCACCGCCGTCGTCACCACACCCGGACTCACCACCCGTTTCACCTGTCCGCCGCCGTAAATACGCGACAAATATTTTAGTTTTGCGCGCCATGGAATTGGAGTCATTCGAGTGGACCGTATGTAATTTGTGAGCACATCGAGATACGACCGTGATTATTTACTGCCTGACAATTTTAGCACACGTTACTTTTCTATGAATATATGTCATTTCGGGCGAGTATTATCGCGAGCGTTCTCGTATGATCCTATTTCATCCGTGTTTGAAATCTACGTTTCCGCACAAATCAAACACTATAATTTACCTAAAAAATAATTGGAATTTCGGAAAAATGTTCACTTCTTGTCATACAGACGTCCCTCATATCAATGTGACATTTAAACTTGAAAGCGGCATCATTCGCATATATCTGTCCGACACAATTGTGTTCACGTAGATCTGTTTGTAGAAAATATTTGAGATCTGTCTCAATTTTCTAAACTCACGACAGAGGTCTGGTTTTTTTCTCGATTTTCAATTTCGAAATTACAAATTAAAAAAACCAATTGTTTCTTTGATTCCTCAGGACGACTTAGGATAATTCGATCCAGTAATCTCTTCTTAAAGATACACACACTATTGCCATGCTTATTTACACGTTACCTTTAAAATGTAAACACTTCTTATCTACTGTACTTATCCAAAAGAGTTTCAGATTTATTTACAAATTGATCCTACCTAATATTGACTAGACAGGGAATGTTTTGATCGTAGTACGTGAGTGAAACTACAGCGCGTACTTCGCACGATCAGCGTATCGGTAGACACGTTCATTAATCTCTCCCTCTCCATAGACATCAACCTCTTATCGTACACGTATACGGTGTATAAGTACCACAATAGTACTTCTTAATAGCCTCTTTACAGAACAGAGAAGATGGAAACGGAAAAATGTATAGATGAAAAGTTGTTTGAAAAGTCCGCGGGACGCTAAATGTGACGCAAGGGAGATATATAAAAAATGGACTAACCGAGAAGATAAAACCAAATGTACGTGTTTGCGATACGCAATACGAACGTTTTTCTGCTCGGTAAACGGCAGCTCGATCTCGATTTCTAACTTTCCGTCTCTCAACCTAATGGGACGTAATGGAACAGATAAAGAATTTCACCTAATTATTATTACCTAAGCACCGTAATATCTGCTGTTCCCTCCGTCATTTCCGGGGTTCAGTTCTCGAAGGAATATCCAGCCGTTAGTAAATCGTTTTCGGACGGCAGTTTTCGTCGTCACTTACTATGAACAGGAGTAGTCCTCCTCTTAATCTCGACTTGCTCAACGATGCCGTCGCTCTCCTTATCCTGATGAGCAGTCATGTGTCTAGTGAGGTGGTGTCTCTCGCGAAAGCTCTCGTCGCAGACGGGACATCTGAGCTTCTCTTCTCTCCTTCTCCTTGCCGCTTCGCCCGTGTTCTCGTTCTTGTGGTGAGACCTCATGTGGTAGACCAAGTCGGAGGTCATACGGAATGACAGATTGCACTTGGCGCAGACATTTTGCGCCGGTAGTGTCAAAGCAGCAAGCGATGGTGGTAAAAGACCGGCCACTCCCGCGGCGGTCGCTAAAAATCTTGGCCTGGCAAGGGCGTCCGCCATCGGCGGGAATACCGAGATGGGATTGTAAGATAAGTTCGGATAGACCGGCGGTAGATCCGGTCGAAAGGTAGGCACCTTCGGACTGGGCACCTTGGGCGGTTGAGCGATTTGTGGGATCTTCAGGTTCTCCAGCAAGCCGGTCTGAGCAGCCTCCGATCCCATCAGAAAAGGATATGCCATCTTAGTGGGAAATGGCGCATACTTGTAGCTCGTTGCACCCGGCAAGGATACCACTGGTGGACTGACGCTGCTCTGATAGCTCGCTCGGTCCTCGGGCGATATCGATGACCTGGGCGAGGTCTGTCCATCCTCATTAAAGCCGTTCCGCTGGGCCGCTAGATTGACCTTCGTAAAGGCACTGCGGGACTCTCCGTGGCGGTCGGTCGCGCAGGGAATACCACTCTCGTAGACTTTCGCACAAGCTAGAATCGAAGAATCCGCTGATTCCGGGCAGTTGGTTAATATAGATTGATGACCGGCGAAGGTGGGTGGACTTGGGGTTTTTTGAAGTCGACCGGTTGACGAGTATCTTCTGCCGTCGGAATCCGGAGAGAGCCGGGGCAAGGTCGGCGTCAGCGTCCTCGGAGATACATACGGTGGACTTAGCGAGTTTTCTGTGCAATGCGCTAGTCTTCTTCTGTCCGCACCGCCGGAGTCGTTGTCGTAATGCTTGATAGTGAGATTCTGCGGTAACCGATCGTTGTCCAAGACATTGTCCATAGAGACGTCTTCTCGCGGACGGTCCCTCCGGCTGGACACTAGCCTCAGTTTCTCGCTCTGACGACGCGCCAAATTCTCGTCAGGCGCTACCAAGAAGGCGACGTCGAAGGAGCGTTTACTGGCCCGTTGAAGGGGATACGAAGCGTCGTGCGTGACGTCGCTGATGGACGCGGGACACGACGACGACGTCAGTGCCGTCGTGGCCGGCGTCGACGTCGCAGAGGCGGCGCGGTCGATCCCACCCGTACGATCTTCCATTGTCATCCTGCTCGCTCCGTATGATCGACCTGCGACAATGGATAGTGAACGCTAGCGTCACATCGACGCGGAGTGATCGATCGCTCATGATTCGATACGCTCAGTTCGAATGTCCTAAATTCTGGAAACGTGAATCTGAGTGAGACGAGAATCATCACCGAGGTAGCCCAGAGGGAGCAAAACTACTTTATATTTGAGGCCGTGCTTTATATTCGAGCGAATACAATCGGGAATAAAAGTATCAAGTATCAGCTTTATAAACATACGAAAATAACAACGATTATTCGACTGGTCTCATTAATGATATCCTGAGATGATGAAGGTACTGAAGCCGGTAAGCCGTAAATTGGAGAGAAATTTTGAAAAACGCGATTTGAAAAATCACGTTCAAGAGTCTCTGCAAACTCTTGTGGACGTACGTGTCATGCTGTGATCTTTACAAAAAAAGGAAGACACCAGATAACAAATTACCCTTACCAGATTACGACAAGTGTCTTCCGAACACACAAGGCCTACGAACTGCACCTGTGCGCCACGCTCCCCCACCCTCTCGAGGGTGTCCCTTCGGTCTTCCCTAAGACATGAAACCGCACTTTTTCCACAAGGCCTAAGATCGGCCCCCACAAGCACGTGAACCCGAGATCAACTACGGTGTGAGTGACAGCAGCCCCCTGACCGGACTCACCGATCTGGTGCACAGTCCAGAACGCACTAAAAGTGGCGAACACTCGAGGTCGTATCGGCGGTCCGCGTTAAAATGAGGGTGCTGTTCGCGCATACCCCGTATTTAGGGGTTGCTGCGACCGAGGGTAGCACGAACAGTGGCAGGTGGAGGCGCAACGTGGGTGGCACCGACCAATGGTGGCGCTCGTAATGTTATACGGGGGTGGAGCGTAGCAACGGAGTGAACATATTCGCTCGTCGGGATGCGTCTGCTAGCACCGTCCAGACCACGCCTACATATTTCAGGTTCGACACATGTGCCTGGGATCGTCGTCGTCGTCGTCGTCGTCGTCGTCGTCGTCGTCGTCGTCGTAGTCGTCGTAGTCGTCGTCGTCGTCGTCGTCCTCGTCGTCGTCGTCGTCGTCGTCATCGTCGTTGTCGTCGTCGTAGTCGTTGTACTTCTCCTCATCGTCGTCGTCGTCGCCGTCGCTGTCGTGGGCTCTTGCTTTTGCCACCCCTTCACCCGCCCGCACGTCTTGCCCTCCCCGCGTTGCGCAACGCATTCCGCAGAATCCCGTTCTGTCGGAGTGGCGAACGGGCGAAGGTGGCGGCGAAGGGGTGGATACGACCGGAGGCTGTAATTCAGCCTGACAAACGATCTTGAATATTTTTAACGCCCGTGCCGCGGGCTATGCTCCTTTTTTATGGCCGTCTCGCAACTATATTGGACGTTCGGCAGACAAGCCGGGTCTGCTGATGAAGGTATGACGATCTCGTTCTCGAAATATAAACGCAAAATACGATGAAGTGCCAATTGATACGAGTGGCCGCGGTAATAAACGTCCGAATGGAAACCGCTTCGGGGGAAGTATGAATTGCATTTGGTAAAGATGAACTTGTTAAAGAAGACGAATTAACCAAGGCAGTGATGTGCATAAATTCTGACATTTTCGAGAGAATGTCCAATGAAACGATGACCTAATGAGCATCGTGTTTCTTTTTAATGAAACCCACGCTACGTGTATAACTCGTCGTCGATGAGAGATGAGGTGCGTTAAATCGACCGCATTGGACAGAAGGTACCGGCGATGTCCACGCGGTACCATCGCTCTGAGGATTATCTTTCTGACGTATCCTACCCATTTCTCACCATTCCGATAAATACCGTAATCCCCCAAAGTGACATATGACTTTAGCGGGAATGCGTCGGTTTGTACGAGTGATAAAACTCTGAAAGGCCGTTATAAAAATTGTTGCGTCATTTGTACTTTCTTGTATTTTTTGACTGCCCTTGGTTTGATTTTTCTCCCAATATTACTGTTTTCCACGCACGTTATAATTGCAATTAGCAAAACCCATATTTTTGATTCCATGAAATCACATCCAGTTTATCTACAACTGTCTTTGTGACATGCCATTTTTTTATATATGTTTTATTTAGAGATATGATCTATATATAATTTATAATTACTGATATATTAGGAAGTTGATTTAATTCTAATCTTATTTTGTCAACTTTTATCTTTATTTTAAAGATATGGTTAAATTTACATTAATCAAAATATTTTCCGTCGTCAGCTGCGACTTTTTCCCATCTTTCTGGCAACATAACGATTCCGCGATGATAGAATGATCTATCTGTCGAAGCAATCCAATCAAACACCCATTTTTGCACATTCTCGTAATTATTGAAATGTGTATCTACCAAAATGTATTGCATCAATCGGAACAGATGATAATCGGATAGTGCTAGGTCTGAAGAGTACGCTGGATGCGGAAAGATTTCCCACTCGAGCTCTAACAATGTTTGTTTAACGATTGAAGCAACATGTGGACGAGCATTATCGTGCAAAAGAATCACTTTGTTGGCTATCGCTTTTTTGCATCAATTAATCATTCAATTTGTTCAATTGTTGTTGGTATCGCTCCCCCGTAACCGTTTCATTCGGTTTTAGAAGCTCATAGTACACTGCACCTTCTATATTCCACCAAATACAGAGCATTGCTTTGTGACCGAGAATATTTTCTCGGTCGGTTTTGGTGTCGATGTTGATGGTTGTCCCGGATTAACCTGTGATTTTTTTCGCTTTTTTCGGATTATCAACATAAAACTTTTCATCTTCAGTTACAATTCGTCACAAACAACTCTGTTTTCTGTCTGGTAAGCAAAGACATGGCGATATTCAAGCGATTTGCAATGGCACTTTCACTCAATTCATGTGTAACCAATTTGCCTTCCTTTTGAACTTCTCCATGGCGTGTAAGCCAATTAGAAATTGTTGATTTATCGACGTTGAGTTGTTCAACTAATTGTTTTTCTGTTCGAGCGGTGTTTTCATTCAATAATGCTTGCAATTCAGAATCTTCGAGCTTTTTTGGCTGACCAGTACGTTCTTCGTCACTCAAATCGAAATCACCACTTTTGAATCATTGAAACCAAGATTTACAGCTGAAATACGATGGAGCTTGATCACCATAAATTATAACAAGCATTTCACGAGCTCCAGTTGCCGATTTCTTCAAATCAAACAAAAAAAGTAATGAATATTGAAAATGCAATTTTTGTACGATTCATTTTACACACATATAAGCAATGAAACTATCAGTAACAATAGCGCGCAAACTGTTGTATGTCATAGAAAAATGTCAAATCTTTCAGTATTGCCAGATTTTATCATTCGTACTAACCATTAACTTGTTACTAAAGCCATCTATTAGCTGGGGAACAGAACTAATTCAACCTGCTAATATTATCAAGATATTATTTAATCCTGTTTTGTACCTATTCCGCGAGTGAACTTCGATATAAGACAAGACGGAAGGCGTCGTGGTGGTTTCGCGCAGGAAGAATAACTCCCGATACAAGCGGGTGCATTGAACAAAAAGTATTCGCCACCCCATGGAGCCAATAGGCGATCAATCATACGCCGGTGATCTATTTTACCGGGCATGTGAGACCCGTCGGTTTCTTACACGATTCTCCGGATCCTGGCAAAGTAAAATCCTACGGGGAACGACGCAAGGTTAAAGGACATTAACTTCTTGATTGAGTCGGCAAAAAGTTGTAATGACTTTTCGATTGGCGCTATCCTACGCCCGGCAGAGACTCGCGAACGAGTATTGCAAAAGAACGACGCTGCTTCTTGTATCTTATACAGAACGTTCTAAAAACTCAGAACGTTCTTACATCCATAAATATTGGAGATCTGACCGAGAAAAATAGTAGTTGTTTCGATAATATCAATGGGAATCGATGACGAAGGGGTTATCTAATCTAACTAAGAATCAAAGAGTTCCAGTTAGATCAACTTATAAATAAATAGCATAATATTTTTGGACAGATTTCTAAATTACCGTATTTCCCAAACTTCGTTAAAGTGTCTTTAACGAAAGATCGATTTGTCGTAGAGTCAGTGTAAAACCGTTTTACCTCTTACAGATTAGGAATTAACGAAATAAAACTCTAGACTACGCACATGTTATCGTAACGAACGTAAATCGCTATATTGCGCTGAAATTTATTTCCGCGACAGCGAAAAATATAGGATAGAAGATCCAATTATGCGAGACGATCCCTTTCTCCCTCGTTCTTTCTCTCTCAGTCAGTGACTCGATAAACTCAAATACCCTAGCGAGACACTCTGCTCTCGGAGATGGCTCCGCCAATTCATGCCCGGAATAAATTAAACGATCCGCTTCATGCGCAGCAGATAGTGCGGCGTGCAATACAGCCGAGTCTAATCCTAATTCGGAGTCGTAAAGTCGGGAAAGTCGTTACGACGACCTTACGTATGACACGCGTCGCACAGCGGGGCGCTACGAAACTCTCTGTATCTTGGCGTAGCCATTCCTAGATTATAAACCATATTTATTGCCGATCATACAGCACCGTTCCCAGCAAACTCGGAGACGGCGATATACTGCGATCTCTAATTCCATTTTACGTCCCTCTACTTCGCGCATTTCACTTAGCTTTGTTCTATTAAAAAGTTTAACGCGAGAAAGAACAGAGTTGAGATCGCTTCAGCGATTTTCTGTTTTGGATACAATTTATGTTTATAATGTGCAATGTTTTTATGAGAGAGAGGGAGAGGGAGAGAGAGAGAGAGAGAGAGAGAGAGAGAGAGAGAGAGAGAGAAATGTGTGTGTATAATTTATATAAATTATTTTTATGAATCTCTTTCTCTCTCTTTCTTTTTTTCTCTCTCTTGTCATTCTATAAACTGCTGTCTTTTTTATCCAGCTCAACAGTAAATTACAAAAAAACTTAATATTTAAATTACTAATAAAACCTTTAAAGGAAGAACGAAATATTTTAATGATCCCTCAAAGAATTAACATACGTCTCGATCGTAATTTCAACCCTCTGGAGCGAAAAAATTTAGAAAAAATCAATGCACAAGAAATATTTGATTATAAATTTACTATCCATATATAATCCTAGAAGTTGGAAGGACAATCTGTATCCAAAAATTGTACAAGATTGACACAATTGTTTAGTGTTATTTATCCGCGAGTCGTCCGATTGTTCTCACGAAAATAAAACGCTCGAGCTGCAAATTCGTCTCCCATTGGCTCCTCCATCCTGTATTCTCAAGTAGAAAAATAGGTCACGCGCGCATGAAGATCGTGGCACTTCGCAGCCATCTGCCCATTGTTGCTTCCGCAAAACGGCTGGGAAGGGAAAGTTTCTCGCATCGTCTATTTTGACGAAGTTAAACACATACATGTAGTGTACAAGCATGGGCGCTCGACACGTGGCGGATACGCGTGAGCTATTAACATCGAGTTTGGGTTACCCGTGAAGTTTAACACCGGGAGTATCCATCGCGAAGATTCACGAAGGGGATATCTCATACACGCGCATATATTTTGGCTCAGTTGACGTTACGTGCGAGAATTAATATGTCGATTCCACGTGATCGCTTCTAATGCGAAAATTGATATTGCACGAAAATCGAGACGCTTCTACGCTCGATGAATAAGAAGCGAGGTATTATAGAAGATTGAATTAATTCTGATCTTATTTTTCCAATTTTTCCAATTTCCAATTTTTATCTTTATTTTAAAGAAAT